AGAATAGAAGCATCAGGGAAGAGAGAGGTGAAGGTTTATAAACTATAAGAGGAGGCAGTTTGGGTAATATATAAACAGCTATTGGAGGATAGATGGGCTAATGAGAGCATAGGCAATGGGGGGTTCGAAGAGGTATGGGGTAGGTTTAAAAATGTAGTGTTTAAGTGTTTCACAGAAGTTTGTGGTTACAGAAAGTGGGTGCGGGGAGGGAAGAGGAGCGATTGGTGGAATATGATAAAGAGAGTAGTAAGGGAGAAAAAAGTTAGCATTTAAAGTTTTTACAAAGTAGAAGTGATGCAAGGAGGGAAGAGTATATGGAGAAAAGAAAGAGAGAGGTTAAGAGAGTAGTGACGCAAATGTAAAAAGAAGCAAATGAAGAGTGGGTGATAGTTATCAACAAATTTTTATGTATGAAAATAAGAAAAAGTTTTGGAGGAGATTAACAAGTTAAGAAGCCTAGAGCAATCAGAATGGATTTGTCAGTTAAAAATAGAGAGGAGAGTTATTAAATGGAGAGTTAGAGTATTGGGAAAGAGGGAGGGAATATTTTTAGGAATTGTTAATGTTGATGAAGATAGGGAAGATGTGATTTCGCATAGGCAGGTAGGAATAACATCTTGAGGATTGAGATAAGATCCAGTTTTGTGAGTGTGGGGGAATTTCGTGGAGGCAGTAGTTAAAATGAAAGGGGGTAAGGCAGCCGGGATTGAATGGGATAAAGAATAGAAATGTTAAAAGCAGGTGGGATATAGTTTTTGGAGTGGTTGGTGCAATTATTTAATAAATGTATGGAACAGAGGTAAGGTACCCTAGGATTGCGTAGGCAAGAGCATGCATAGTTTCCTTGGATAAAGGCGAAGGGATAAAGAGAGAGTTGCAAAAAATTTATAGGGTAGATAAGCCTTAATGTATACCTGGTAAGTATATAGTAGAGTATTATTGAAAGAATTAAGAGTAAGACGGAGAATAGGATACGCAGATGAACAAGGAGCTTTAGAAAGCGCATGGGAGGTGTGTGGACCAGGTGTTTTACAGTGAAACATATAAGTGACAGCATTTAGATAAGGCTAAAAGGTCTTTGTGGCATTTATTGGATTTGGAAAAAGCGTATGAACAGAGTGGATTAGGGGGGCACTGTGGCATAATGTTTGCAGTGTGTATGTGTAGGGGGTAAGCACTGAAGCAGATGAAGAGATTTTACGAGATAGGAGGCTCAAGGTTATAGTCATATAGGAAGGAGGGGAAATTATTTCCCATTATAGTAGGTCCTTAGAAACAAGGATGTGTGATGTCAACCGTGGTATTGTTTAATATATTTATAGATGGGTTGTAAGAGAATGTAAATGCGAGGGTCTTGGCAAAGGCTGGAGTTAAAAGATAAAGAATCACACACAAAGTGGGAGTTGTCACAGTTTACTCTTTGCTGATGACACTGTGCTCTTGGGATATTCTGAGAGAAGTTGCAGAATTGGTGGGATGAATTTGGTAGGGTCAGATCTAAAAAGAAGAAAATTAAAAGTGAATAAAGTGAAAGAGAAAGTATGAGGATAACAAAAAGATATTGATGAAGATTGATATCAGATTGGAGGGAGAGCGTATGGAGGAGGTGAATGTATTCAGATATTTGGAGTGGACGGTCAACGCTGGGTCTATGAAAGATGGGGTAAATCATAGAATTGATGGGGGGAAAAAGGGGTGAGTGTGCACTTAGGGTCTGTGGAGAAAAAGAACTTTGTCCAAAGGGGCGAAGGGGGGAATGTATAGAGTATAGTTTTACCAACTCTCTTTAGGGTGGAAGCTGGGTGATGAAGTTCGGGGGAAAGGGGGGAGCAGTGGAAGTTTTCTGGGGGGCAATGTGGGTGTAAATATAATGCGAGAATTCGTATTTTTGGAATTTGGGAAAGGGGGTTTGGGGGGACCAAAATTTTGTCCAGAGTGTGAGGGAAAGGGGTTGTTGAGGGTTTGGACTGTTTAAAAAGAAAGGAGCGAAACAGAATGCTTCAAGAGTTATCATCTGTATGGAAGGGGAACGGGGGAGGGTCGGGCCCAGGAAAGGTTGGGGGAGGGGGTAAAGGAGGGTTTTTGTGCGAGGGGGGTTGGCTTCCAGCAGGCATGCGTGAGCGGTTTTTATAGGGTGAAGGGGACAAATGGTTTTTTTTTGAGTCTTTGGGGTAGAAAATAACATTTTGAGGGGGCAGGGAAAAGGGAGGCGGACTTTAGTCCTGGAGACGGAAAGTACAGTTCCGCACTTGAAAGGGGGGGTTTTAAGTTGCAGTTTTAAAACTGCGTGTAAAGCACCCTTTTGGCAAGACGTGAGGAGTGAATGATGGTAAATTTTTCTTTTTTCGGGGCCCAACCTGCCTTTGTGGGGAATCAGCCAGGTGATAATAATAATTTAAAAAATTAAATATATAATATTTTGTCGTGCCGAAAATGTAAAAAATGTCAAATTTGCAAAATCATTTAAAATTTTTCCTTCTAAATTTTCTCTATACTTTAAAGATATTTTTTTTTTCATTTGTTAACGAAAAAATTTTAATTTTTTCCCCAAAAAATCTTAGAAAACTTCCTAACCCAAATTATACAAAAACAATTTTTTTTAGCCTAACCCAATAAAAAAATTTTAGTTTGTTTTCAATAATTTTAAAACTAAACGAACACAGTGAAATTTTTTTTTTTGCTAGGGTTTAGAATGTTTTGGCGAAAAAATGAACAAAATTTTCATTTTCCCCATATGCAAGTGACGTTTCTTTTTTAAACCAAAATCGCAATTCTGTATTTGGCACGACATTATATATATTTTATATATATATATATATAAATATATATATATTTATATAAAATTTATAATATATTATATATAATAATATTAAAAATTTATATTAAAAATATATTATTATATATTAAATATAATTTAATATTATAAAAATTATAAATAATACATTTAAAAATATATAATATATTTTAATATTATATATATATATATATATTTATTATTATATTATTATATATATTATAAAAATATATATAATTTATATTATATATATAAATTTTATATATATTTTTGTAGGTAGGGGGATAATGAAAGAAATAGAGGTAAGACAGAATGTAGGATTGCGGATGAGCAAGGAGGTTTCAGAGTGGGTAGGGGATGTGTAGATCAAGTGTTTACATTGAAGCATATATGTGAATAGTATTTAGATAAAGGTAGGGAAGTTTTTATTGCATTTATGGATTTAGAATAGGCATATGATAGAGTGGATAGGGGAGCAATGTGACAGATGTTGCAAGTATATGGAATAGGATGTAAGTTACTAAATGCTGTAAAGAGTTTTTACGAGGATAGTGAGGCTCAGGTTAGGGTGTGTAGAAGAGAGGGAGACTACTTCCCAGTAAAAGTAGGTCTTAGACAGGGATGTGTAATGTCACCATGGTTGTTTAATATATTTATAGAAAGGGTTGTAAAAGAAGTAAATGCTAGGGTGTTCGGGAGAGGGGTGGGATTAAATTATGGTTAATCAAATACAAAATGGGAATTGACACAGTTGCTTTTTGCTGATAATACTGTGCTTATGGAAAACTCTAAAGAAAAATTGCAAAGGTTAGTGGATGAGTTTGGGAGTGTGTGTAAAGGTAGAAAGTTGAAAGTGAATATAGAAAAGAGTAAGGTGATGAGGGTATCCAGTGATTTAGATAAAGAAAAACTGGATATCAAATTGGGGAGGAGGAGTATGGAAGAAGTGAATGTTTTCAGATACTTGGGAGTTGATGTGCCGGCGGATGGATTTATGAAGGATGAGGTTAATCATAGAATTGATGTGGGAAAAAAAGGTGAGTGGTGCATTGAGGTATATGTGGAGACAAAAAACGTTATCTATGGAGACAAAGAAGAGAATATATGAAAGTATAGTAGTACCAACACTCTTATATGGATGTGAAGCTTGGGTTGTGAATGCAGCAGCGAGGAGGCGGTTGGAGGCAGTGGAGATGTCCAGTCTAAGGGCAATGTGTGGTGTAAATATTATGCAGAAAATTCGGAGTGTGGAAATTAGGAGGTGTGGAGTTAATAAAAGCATTAGTCAGAGGGCAGAAGAGGGATTGTTGAGGTGGTTTCGTCGAATGACATGGAGAGCATTTAAATCTGTAGTGGAAGGAAGGGGGGGTAGGGGTCGTCCTCGAAAAGGTTGGAAGGAAGGGGTAAGGGAGGTTTTGTTGGCGAGGGGCTTGGACTATCCAGCAGACGTGCATGAGCGTGTTCGATAGGAGTGAATGGAGACGTATGGTATTTGGGACCTGACGATCTGTTGGAGTGTGAGCAGGGTAATATTTAGTGAAGGGATTCAGGGAAACCGGTTATTTTTATATAGCCGGACTTGAGTCCTGGAAATTCGAAGCACAATGCCTGCACTCTAAAGGAGGGGTTTGGGATATTAGTAGTTTGGAGGGATATGTTGTGTATCTTTATACTTATATGCTTCTAAACTATTGTGTTCTGATCACCTCTGCAAAAACAGTGATTATGTGTGAGTGAGGTGAAAGTGTTGAATGATGATGAGAATATTTTCTTTTTGGGGATTTTCTTTCTTTCTGGGTCACCCTGCCTCTGTGGGAGACGGCCGACTTGTTAAAAAAAACTATATATATATATATATATATATATATATATATATATATATATATATATATATATATATATATATATATATATAAATATATATATATATATAATTAATATATATATATATATATATTAATAATATATATGCACTCATTCGTGGTTACTAGAAGTTTGTTTTGGATTGACCTGGAAACCAAAAAAAAAAAAATACATAGTAAAGAATCAAAGAAATTCATTAAATACATTAATTTTTATATTTAAATAATGAAATACAAATTTCTGATACTTTCTCTCATAATAGCTTTCTTATTTCTTATGTATGAATGTCATTGTACTAGTCTATCTGTTTCAGAGCTCCGTAATCTCATTTCCTTTCCCCAAGGCGCTGCAGGTGACGACGGAGGGGGAGGCCCCTGGAGGACCCCCGAGAGATGTGGAGGTGACGGCCGTGTCCTCAACCACCCTGAAGGTATCGTGGTCACCTCCCGACGCCTCCGTCAGGCACGGCAGGATCCTCGCCTACTACATCGGCTACGGACACACAGGGTAAACAGTCTGTAGCGTTGGGAAATTTAGAGTTCGGGAGAAGCAGGTCTTCTCAAGCAATGATCCTGAGTGAATGCAGCCTCTGCAGGATTTAGGTGTACTTGTACTAAAGGGAAGTAATTGTATAAATAAAGGAGTGTGTCTGAGTGAATTACAGGATGTACGACATCCTGTAATGGAGATGTTTATTTTTACAAATAAAAGCGTGTAAAAGAGTTCAAAGAGCACTTAAAGAAAGTGGCTCTTTTTTACACATAAAATGGTAAAGTGACATATATAAAATTGGGAAATACGTTTGTGTATATGTAGAGAGGCATGTTTCTGCATACGATCATATTACACAGACACGTGCATACGTGCGCTATATACCCGCACATAAGCACATTTACACAGAGACTCGACCCCTGCCACCACACACACACACACACACATACACACACACACACACACACACACACACACACACACACCACACACAACACACACACACACACCCACACACACACACACACATGTTCCTCCCCTCATTCCACCACACCTCACCTCCATTCGCCAAATAGTCTCCAGCTTCCTCCACTTCCCCCCCCCCCTAAACCCACCGGACAAACACACCACACAACACACAGAATTACCAGTTTTCATAGGCAATCAAAACAAAAAAAAAGAGGGGGGGGGTTGCCAGAGATCAGGAAGGAAAACCAAGCGACTGAGGATGAGTCTGCAATGAAGATTGGGCAGCAAAGCTCATGAAAAGGAACATGTGGTAAGAAGCTAGAATAGCTAAATAAATGGAGATAAATAAATACATGACAAGCAAAATTGGAGACGCAGTCACAAGCAGCAAGGCTAAAGAAAAAGATTAAAAGGAACTGAAAAATCTGAAACAGCCTATAAACTGAAGCGCAAATTGGAACTTCATCGAGTTAGCTACCTCCTCACTCTCCAGACAGGGACTCTGGAACGGAGTGAAAATGTATCAGAATAGGCCCTATCAAGCATCGGAAACCGAAAAAAGAGGGGGGTGCCAACATAGGACCCAATGCGAGGGGTCTGTAGAAAAGTGACAAGAGCTAAGCTATATGTGGAGACCTAACAGACCAAAAGCAGAACCCAGGTGTAAAGTGAGAAGGGAAAATGACAGCCACTGGGCCAAGAAAAGAGATTGAGGGAAGAAAACTGAAAAGATAGCTGCAGGGAAGGCAACTAATAGAAATCATAAGGATACATAGGTGATATGCAGTGGGAGGAATGAAAAGGAGAGATCATCTTTGTACGGGCTCAGGAAGTTGAAGGGGAAGCCTACAGACAAAGAGACCAGGAGGAGAGAAAATAGGTGATCGAAAGCAATATGAGAAGATGAACAATGACCGCAGTGGGCTAATTTTCAAGGATAATAGGGAGTCTGCAAGAAGAAAGAACCTTTTGCAGTTGAAAGTGACGTTTCAAGGCAGACTCGACTCGATAGAGAATCCTGCAGGAGAAAGCAAGACTAAGGGATATGCCAGCATACCAGGTGTATCTCAACCAAGACAGGAAAAGAAAGAGATCAGCCAAAGAACCAGAAGCTAATATAAACAGATAAGAAGGGAGACTCAGCGACAATACGAAAATGACATAGCATCGCAAGTCAAGTTTGACCCGAAGCTGTTGTATATCCACATCAGTAGGAAAACAACAGTCAAGGACCAGGTAATCAGGCTGAGGAAGAATGGTGGGGAGTTCACAGAAAACGACCAAGAGGTATGTGAGGAACTTAACATGAGATTTAAAGAGGTATTTACAGAGGAAGTAAGTAGGACTCCAGGAAATTCAGAACAGGGAGGCACACTAACAAGTGCTGGATGAAATACACATAACCGAGGAGGAGGTGAAGAAGCTGCTATGTGAACTTGATACCTCAAAGGTGGTGGGACCAGACATCTCTCTGTGGGTCCTTAAAGAAGGAGCAGAGATGCTGTGTGTGCCACTAACAAAGATCTTCAACACATCCATTGAAACTGGGCAACTACCTGAGGTATGGAAGAAGGCAAATGTAGTCCCAATTTTTAAAAAAGGAGACAGACACGAGGCATTAAACTACAGACCTGTGTCACTAACGTGTATAGTATGCAAAGTCATGGAGAAGATCATCAGGAGGAGAGTGGTGGAGCACTTAGAAAGAGACAAACATATAATCGACACCCAGCACGTTTTCAGGGAAGGAAAATCCTGTGTCACAAACCTACTAGAGTTTTATGACAAGTGACAAAAGTAAGAGAGAGAGGGGAGGAAAGATTGCATTTTCGTGGACTGCAAGAAAGCCTTCCACACAGTTCCTCACAAGATGTTAATGCAAAAGCTAGAGGATCAGGCACACATAACAGGAATTGTACTGAAATGGATCAGGGAATACCTGACAGGAAGGCAACAATGAGTCATGGTACGTGCTGATGTGTCAGAATGGAAGCCTGTCACAAATGGGGTTCCACAGGGGTCAGTCCTAGGACCTGTGCTGCTTTTGGTATATGTCAATGACATAACGAAAGGGATAGACGCAGAAGTGTCGTTGTTTGCAGAAGATGTGAAGTTAATGAGGAGAATCAAATCAGTTGAGGATCACGCAGGGCAACAATTTGACCCTGCCAAATGCAAATTCATGAAGATCGGGGAAGAGCAAAGAAGACCGCAGAGTATAGTCTAGGTGACCAAAGACTGCAAACCTCACTCAAAGAAAAATATCTTGGGGTGAGTAAACTACCGAGCACATCTCCTGAGGTGCACATTAGTCAGATAACTGTTGTAACATCTGGCAAACCTAAGGATAGTCTTTCCATTCCTCTGTAAGGAATCCTTCAAGACTCTGTACACCATATACATCACGCCCATACTGGAGTATGCATCACCAGTTTGGAATCCACACCTGGTCAAGCACGTCAAGAAATTAGAGAAGTGCAAAGGTTTGTAACAGGACTAGTTCCAGAGCTAAGGGGATTGTCCTACAAAGAAAGGTTAAGGGAAATTGGCCTGATGACACTGGAGGACAGGAGGGTCAGGAGAGACATGATAATAACATACAAAATGCTGTGCAGAATAAACAAGGTGGACAAAGACAGGATGTCCCAGAGATGGGACACAGAAACAAGGAATCACAATTGGAAGTTGAAGACTCAAATGAGTCAAAGGGATGTTAGGAAGTATTTCTTCAGCCACAGAGTTGTCAGGCAGTGGAATAGCCTAGAAAGTGACATAGTGGAGGTGGGAACCATACATAGTTTTAAGATGAAGTTTGATAAAGCTCATGGAGCAGGGGGAGAGGGAACCTAGTATCAATCAGTGAAGAGCAGGACCAGGAGCTATGACTCGACCCCTGCAACCACAAATAGGTGAGTACACACACACACACACACACAGATGGCTCTGGTAAAGAAGAATGAATGGAAGAGCAATGAAAAAAGAATGGAACAAGAGTAAGAGGCAAACTAGGTGAGCTTTCTGTGAAATGGAAAGATGGAGGCAGAGTTTTCTGCAAAAATGGAGAAGAGGATAGAGGTGGAGAAGAAGAAATGGGAGTCACATTCCAAAGCCAGAGAAGCCAGGACAAGGGCTCTAGAATATGAGGTAAATAGGCTGAAGTGAGTTACAGGGCTATTGTCCAGAGGAGACAGCATCTGAAAGAGGTACACCCCTACTTAACGAGGAGCCCAACAGAAAGGGAGGAGATATGATTTATGCTAAAGCCCTATCAGTCCATCTAGCAAGGCCGAGGAATGAAGGGGAAGAGCAGTTGGGAGCAGGGTAGCAACAAGGGAGGGGAGAGAAGACAGAGAGGGGGATAGGTCCCACACAGAGGCACAACCATGCCACCAAGAGCTACAGGAAAAATTAAGGGAGACAATGACCATGAGCAAACAAGACCCAGTAACACTTTGGGAAAGGCAATGGGAGGAGGAGAGGGAGAATTCAGTGTTCATTCATGGGCCTCAGGAGAGCGAGGGGAGGACACACACTGAAAGATGGCAGCAAGAAAAACTGGAGATTGAAAACATAAGAACATAAGAACATAAGAAAGGAGGAACACTGCAGGAGGCCTGCTGGCCCATACTAGGCAGGTCCTTTACAATTCATCCCACTAACAAAACATTTGCCCAACCCAATTTTCAGTGCCACCCAATTTTCAGTGAAAATTGGGTTGGGCAAATGTTTTGTTAGTGGGATGAATTGTAAAGGACCTGCCTAGTATGGGCCAGCAGGCCTCCTGCAGTGTTCCTCCTATTTCTCATCAGAGAAATAGGTGAGGAGGACATGACTGAGATACTAAATTTTCAGAGAATAGGGGGGTATCTGAAGGGGAGAAACTGGATGATCAATGTCATTTTCAAAACAGAAATGGTGCAAAACAGGATACTGCATGAGAAACCATGGCTGAAAGAATCATCAACATACAGGAGAGTGTTCCTAGACAGAGACAGAATGACAGCAACTGAGGGAGAGAACGCAGAAGCTAAAGGGGTTAGGAAGAGAGACAAGGACAGAATCAGCAAAAGAAAACCAAAGCAGGGCAGAGCAACAAGCACAAGCACACACAGAACCACCCCCAGAACCCCACAAACAAACATGCTCTCCCAATACAAACCACAATCCACATTTACAGCCCCCATCCCACACTGTGCTGTAGAAACCCACAGCACACTGCCAGGTCCCCCACCCTGACAAAATCCCCAGAACACAGTGTTGGATAGGAAACTGAAGTTATGGTACACAAACGGTGATGGAATGACAAATAAGTGGGAGGAGTGGCACAAGAGTCAAAGAGGCATCACCGGACATCATATTTCTCACAGACACCAAGATCACAGGAAAGATAACAGATGCCATCTTTCCAATGGGATATCAGACTCTGAGGAAACACAGATGGAACAGAGGGGGTGGGGGAGTGGCACTGCTCATCAAAAACCGATGGGATTTTGATGAGCTGGAGAGAGGAGACAGAAGAGAAGCAAGAAGCTACATAATAGAAACAC